TTTATATATATATATATATATTTGAATATCATATACAATTTATGTTTTTTACATTTTTCATGTTTTAGTATATTGACTTGTGAAAATGGAACGCTTATATTAGTGCTTGTATTATAATGATGTCACGCTGTTAGTACTTACCAGTGAATAACAGGACACAATCGTTATTTTGATACAAAGTCCTTTGAACTAAATTTCACTTTGTAAAATAAATCATTTTGTTCTTATGTTTTCTCATAATTTTTCTTTACCGATACGCGACTTATAATCTGAGCTGAATGTCTATAATGTGATAAATGAGCAGATTTATAGCGATTCATGCCGTGTCAGCAACTTCTGATATTTATAACAGAAGTTATTATCTGTAGTTTTTAGTCTTTTGTTATGTCAGACACCACAATAATTAAAGTGAAGATTTTAGTATCATCTAGAACGACGCAATTTCATTGCTTCGATAATTAGAATATTATTGGTAATTACGAACGGTATTAGTAATGATGAAACCGTTTGTTATTGTACCGATTACGAATTACGAGTATGAGACTCAGTCAGTAATTAATAGTAAATTTCAGATTAGTTTTAGCGTCGGCTATTTTTCTTATTAATATGTTATGCAGTATTTTTAATTTGATTTTTGATCGTTTTAATAATGCGGTTGGTTTACATTATCACCTTTTTTTCAGTTTGAACCAGTTCTTCTAATATTGTTATTGTTTTAAAACAATGTTAATTGATTAAATTTGTTCCTTTTTTTTTTTCAAAAACAGTATCCATTTAAATATTTATGGTAAAGTTTTGCCTCTTTAATTTTTTAAAATTATTAAAGTCTGATTACATATATCTGCTTTTTTTTAGTGTATTGTTATTAATGAAATTACAAACGGCAAACTGTTGGATAGCTATTTAATTACCATTTAATATCGTTACTACATTACAAAAAAACTTATATATTATTAACTTATATATTATTTTACCAACACACATCCAATGTCAGAGTAATAAGGATTTTATTGTTAATTATTATTGACTGATTATAGTCTGTCGTATTTGTAAATAATAAATTACGAAGCATTTGATAAAAAATTGCGTTATCTGTATTTGCACGTATGTGTTGGTACAGATCAGTGAAGACACGATCACTATAAGATTATGATCCTCACACATGGAGATAATTTATCAATACATGTATTACAATTATATATATATATAATATATATTAATTGTTATTATGTTGATAAATATATGAGACACAAATTTTCTATATATTTTCTTCTATACCTGGAAGTTGTTCAATTTTTTGTGCTTTTTATATTGTATACAAGAAATTTAGATATACATATTTGTTATGTGTTATACAATAATAGAATATTATTTTAATACATTTTTTTCCAGGTACATTTATTTATCTGCTTTTCTGTTAATAAAAACAGAAAATTACATTAAGATAGAAACGTAATGCTGAATAATAATGCAAATGCAATGATGAACAAATGCAATTATACTCGATATATTAAATATCTCAGATCAAATCAAACTGTATGAAAATAGATCTATCATTTCAGAACAAAATGTAAATTTATTGTGAGATATGATAGGTTTAGAAAAGGCGCACTCGTATATAAATGTACATTATTTCTCTATGACATCTGTTATTCTGTTATTTTTAATTATATTAATGATTAGTATAATTCTACTCCACGATGTGTAAAATATGATAGATACTTGATACAAAAACAGATATGGTTTTTTTCAAATATTAATTGTACAATAAATATAGGCTATACACATATATGTATAAATTTAAAAAAAATAACGTTCCTAATTTAGCAGGAACAAACTTTTTATTCGTTATATTATTTGTTATATTTAATAGCTGAGTTGAATCAGTAATGCATGTATTGAGCACAAAAGAATACGAACGCGCTTGATATAACTCAAAAGATATTTTACGATTGTATCTCGTATCCTTAATTTGTTTCTGTAAATCACAAATTTTTGGTTATTGCGGAATGAAGACAAAGCTACTTTGCGCGATAATCGAAAAATATACATTTGAGTGATTTGAATTAAATAGAAATTAGTTTTTAATATATAGTAAAATTAGCTGTTAATTGCACTGTTAAGAAGCATTTATATCCCTCATATAAACGATTGAAAAATAATTCAGAAGGAATAAAAATTATTCTAACAATTTGCAACAGAATGAAAGTCTTACTTTTCTTCAATGTTTTACGACCTTGTTTTTATATTAATTTGCAATTTTAACAATATATAATTTGTTATCAATTATTATTAATCCACTCATTTTGTACAAAAATAACTATCTGAAAAAAATATTGTGTATGTGAGAAAGAGAAGGGAAGAGAGCTGGATGAAGAGGAGGGAGGGAGAGGGGGGGAGAGAGAGAGAGAGAGGATAAAGCACAATGATCTAGTTTTATGATTCTTGTAATATATTTATTTTATGCAACATTTCTCTATAATTTTTGAACAATTAATAGTTTCATACAATTATTATGTTATTTTATAATATTATATAATATGAATTTTTTTATATATCAATATATACCAGTTGACATATCCGAATAAGGAGTTCTTAACATAAAAAATAATTAATCTTTAATATTAGATATTAACTTTTATTGTAAAAAATAAAATTTGACAGTATTTTACGTTTAAACGGAAATGTATCGATTTCTCTCGCTACGACTAAGGTTTATTCATTTATTATTGTAGTTCTTCATTGCAAGCATACGCAAGCGAAAAGGACTCGGTTGCTAATCAGACAGCCACGAGTGAAGAAAGAGCCGAGTCACTTGTCACCGGACGGCGAGACGGGGTCCTTCTCACCACACATTGTCTCGACCTCCGTTCATCTAGCCACGCCGACGCTGAATCTTCCTCAAACGTCAAGGAGTTTCGAGGAATCCCGTATATCGCCACCGCCGCACACCATGTTGGTCAGCCAACCGAATCTGCTGACGGTGACGACGTCGTCCAACTTGTTAACGGTTCCCCAGCAGTCCTATCTGACGAAACAGCACTCGCATCCATTGTTATCCAGTCAGCAACCGGGTACGTCTGGGACATACTTGATACATCGGCAGCATTCACATCCGGAGCTGCCTGGCAGAACCACGAGCCCCTCGATAGTGATTGAACCGGCACCCATTCTTAAGATTGAAGAAGACCTCGGTGTCGACGAAGCCACAACTTCGGCGACACCGACTATCACTTCCGAGTTAGGGACCAGCGGCAGTAGCAGCACTTCCGGTGGATTGAGGGTGAAAACGACAGAGTTGCGACGGACTTCCTCATCGCCACAGGTAAATATCGGATGCGTATGGTTCAATCGAGATCAACGGCAAACATTTGCGTGAAAAAAATCACCGAATTTATTAATTTATACATTCAGATAATAATTAAATTATTACAAACATCGATTTTTAGCTGTTAATGGATAAAATTTGTAGTATGGGCATTAGGTGCAAAAATTTTAAACTCCCAATTTGAATATAATTAATTTATACACTATGTCAATATTAAGCTATTAATATTTAAAGAATTTAATTCATCCTGTTTTATAGCAGATTGTAACATGTTGACGTAAAATTAATTTCTTTTTTTTCTTTAGCCGCGCGCGCGCAATTCATTATATTAAAATATTACTTTAAAATCGCAACAAAGTTTATCAAAGGAATTATATATTTAATATGCTATATACAAGCAGATTAAGTAGATCACTATATAGTTTTTTTTTATAAGATAAATATCTGCTTACATAGACGAGTAGCAGAGAGCCTCCTTCGAGGGATCAACGATTAGGTCACTGTCCGGTGTTGCGCCAGGGCCCAGCCTTAGGCTGTAATCATTGCTGGAACACGATAGACGCCCACGGCAGAATACTCCGTAGGAAGACCAAGTATCATTGTCCCGAATGCCAGATCAATTTATGCATCGTGCCGTGCTTTCAGGAGTACCATGACCAGCGGCGCGAGCTAATTTCCAAACTAAAACCTTTACCAAAAACTAGTTCCGTTTAAATCTCCCCTTCCCCTCCCAACTTCATTATGTACTTTGTTTTATAAGTAATCGTTAATTATTGAATTACGTGTTAAAGCACGCGCTTTGAATGTGTAAAGATTCAATAAGACAATGACAGAGCCCGTCGTTGGCGCGTGCAATTATTTTTCTCCTGTATGTTGATGAATGTGAGTCATCAGATTGATATCGTTTATCAAGATTTCATGACTTGATATATTTTCGTAATACATTTACAGCATCTATATATAAAACATAATTGTTGAAGTAGGCGATGTCATTGCAATCTCGCAGTTTGATGATACAAATATTTATATTATTGTGTGCATTGTGAATTTTCCCATACTCTGTTATGCTCAATTTCTTCACCTCTAGATAACCTTTATCCAGGAAATATCTTCTGGATAAAGCTATCCGTAATTTATCTGCAAGTGAAGAAATTAGCCATTAGTCTTTCAATAATTTTTATGACGTAGTCATAAACTTTATTTACATAATTTTTTTAAGTATGTTTATTATAATAGTTTATTTCATCAAAAAACGTTTTGCTTTTATTAAAAGCAAAAGTTCTACTATGAAATTAGTAAATATTATAATAAAATATTATAAAAAACAACATTTACTTTAACGTAGATATGGATAAATTAATATATTATTTTTTCACACAATTTTATAAAATTCATGACAAAAGTGATGTATCGAGATTGGATGCAAGATATTTTTATTATTTTGGAAAATATATAACTAACTATTGCAAAGCGCAACACTTTATTATTATTGTTGTTATTTATATTCCAGCACATGTTAAGGATACAAATATCCTCTGTAAAAAAAAGCTATCAATTTAGGTAATATCACGAAAATAACTGAATAAGAATATTTATTAATGAAGAATATTTAAATTTGGCTGCGATTTTAGGTAAATAACTTTCTGAAATAAGAATATATCCGAATAAACTTTTGTACAAATATTTAAAAAAAATTTATTAGTATATATAAAAAATTTATTTTATTTGTAATGCTACTTAATTTTTTTGCAAAGTATTATAAAATACGATTTTATAAAAGAAATCAATGAAAATAAAAAAGTTAAATAATTTAAGTCAATAGAAGTATTATATTGAAATTTTAGATACTTATACGTAATAATATAACACTCTATAAAATGTTTATATTTTAGTAATGTCTTGAGATATACATATATTCTTAAGATATTTTAGTTACTTTCGTATCTGTATATATAAAAAAAATGTTTGATTGATTATTGTATGCATTAGTAAAAATCTGTTATTTGTCTAAACTGAGAAGAACATTATCTAAATTGATAAATTTTTTATACAAGATGTTTCCCATAATATGCAAATATAATTTCAGAGGTAAACTCAATACATAAACGTAATAGTTTACAAGAATATTTTTGTCTCATTTGAGTTTACTTATAAATTATGTACGCTCTATTTTACTTATCAATCTTGTTTTATCAAAATTGTTTTCTAAAACGACCATTTCGTCTAAACGTGTTATTATCAATCTTTGAGTTTATTTAAAAACAAGCAAAAAATTTGTTGAAAAACAAAAAACAATTGTGTTTCGGGAACAAAGTCTGATTATAGTTTATATAAATGCTTTTATTTGCTGAATTAAATTTTTTTTTAATATTTCCATACGTGCGTACATGAAAATATATTGTATACATTTTCCAAGTGCATATTCTACCTTAACACGTACTGTTCGCATGATTTTTAATGTTAACGTATTTGACGTTATTATTTTATTTATAATTATTTTTCCAAATATTTTCCATCTTTCGTCCAATCACGCTACACCGTATGATCTCAAAATAGAACTCTATCGCACTATGTCTGTCTCGGTCTCTCCTTCTCTCTGTCCCCCTAGTGTGTACGAATACATCGAGAAAATAATTTCTCTCGACGGCGACACGCGGACACTAATTTTGGAGACCATGAATTGTGAGATGAAATTGCAAAAAAAAAAAAAAATACGAAAGGTAGAATCGGCTCGAAACTGACGAAGTGGCCGTTAAAACGAGAGCTTTAGTACACGTGCAACGATCGAAATTCGGTGTACTTTTATAAATCACTTCCTACCATTCACAGGGCCACCCCTATCGCCACCTGTAACGATACCCCGCCGTTTTAATGCGTCCGTGTAAATTTGTTGTCGTTCGTTCCGCGTATAATCGAACGCGGAACACGCGAGTCTATTCCCTCAATTCGCGAATTTTAGGATTAAAAAAAAGAATAGTACAAGCAAGATCGTTATTATCTGCATATATATTACTTTTATATTTTAAAAATAACAATTAAAAAAATTAAGTTTTACAGAAAAGAAGAAAAATTAATTTTTTAACTTGACAAAAATTATTAACTAAAATTAAATAATATAAAAAAATATATATTTGTAACTTAAATATATATTCCTGATTAAAAAAAAAATGATGTCTCTTATTTTCATTTTATAATTCTTAAAAAAATCATTCTTTTTTTTAAGCTTATTTTTTGAGTTAAAACATTTTAACGATATTTTATGAAATTACGTTAATTTATTTTTAATGTTCCATATAGAGTAATGGCATGGTTTGTTTAACTCATTCGTAGTAATAATTTGAAAATGATGTTTTTAAATTGCATCTTTTTTTAATTAAAGAGAAAATGATGTATTATATGTTATATATATTCTAAATTTTCAATACACATTCAATACACATAAGAAAAAGTTTTCTAAAGTCAAAATTGTGGCCATATAGAACAAATAGTAATACATGCCATTATTTATATTCGTAATAAATTATAAGCGTATTGTATTTAATTGAAAGATGTATATCTACATATTTATGGAAAAATAAAGACTTGTAATAATTTTTTTCACAATTTAACAAAATACAACTCATGAGAGATTAATGAAATTCAAAGATTTAAATCTATTTTATAATTTGAGAATGATTTTGTCAGCGAAAAACATTGATTTTATCCTACACGTCTCAAGCTTGTCTTTCTATCTGTCTCGATTTAGCGACTTGCAAATAAGATAAAATGTTATCTTCTAATCGTTTCGTCTCTACCGAAGCATAAATTTAGGTTTAAATGTGGATTTTAATGTATTATATGTATATTTCTATCAAGCATCTTCGCTTGTACTGACTTTTTTCTCTCCTTATTTCTCGGGTCAATTTTCGCCTGGAATTCACGTACTATCTGTCACTTGATTCCAGACTTTGAGCATTTGTTTTTATGTGTCTCGTGCATTTATCGCGGAAAATGTCGGAAATGCCGACACGTGTCGCGAACAGCGGGATGATCGTAGAAGTGACCGTGTAGAAGATTTTTTCTCCACGGGAAAGAGAAATGTCATGGTGATGGATTAGGCCGGATTCGTTCCGGCCATTTCGATAAATCACGATTTGCGAGGCGGGACAGGCGAGGATCTCTGCTCGCGACTTGTGTTTCCCCTGACACCTTGCGAGCGGCACCGAGCGGCGTTCGCGCACTTTGTATATGTAAAGATGTTGAAGATGTAGAAAATACGTGCAATATATTTTTCTCGGTATTACAGATGTATTATATGCGCAAGCGTTATACCGATTAATCATATTTTATGTGAATCTAACTTGAGAGAGATTCATAAATTAAAATAAAATAATATGAGATCACACAGCGACGTCCGGATTAATTATTTCCTGTACTAGGTGATTTCAAACTCTTTAGTCCGATATAAAGTACGTGGTTGTAATATATTATCACGTGCTTTCGATGCCAATATATGTTTAATGATTACTTGACGATTTAAAAAAAAATCGGCTATCTAAAAAATGGTTTCGCTATTATTTTCCAAAACTTGTTATCCAAGTATATTTTTTCCGTCATAATTTTTGTCTCGAAGATACATAATCCAGACACTTCGAATGGATATAGATGTAAAGTGTAAACAGAAAAAGTCATATTCAGGATGATAATTCGGGAAGTTTGCTGAAACTGAATGGCTTACTTTCCAACAAACGCGGGCAGAACAGAAAACAGCCGCGATATAAATTACAGCTGCGTGGCAAAGAATAATATTAATTAGAAGTTGTTCACCCTCGACGACGGAAGGAGTCCCGCCCGCCGGTTCTTTCCTCCACTGCGCGCGGCCGCCGAATCTTCGAGCAAATCGTTGCTCTCGCAATAAATCCGTGAGGGTCGACTTTTTCCCCGGGTTGGTCGCCGCCGGCAGCAGCGACGGCGTCTCCTCAGCGACGGCCGCGAGATATGGGGTCAGTCGTTTCTTCTGCGAGCAAGCTGACGCCACCGTCACCGTCGTAACGGCAGTAACCCCTCGTAACGTGCGCGACGGAAGAGCCGTCATCTTGGATCCCCCAAAAGCCGCGGTGATATTGTACGCGCAGCCGGTGCCCCGTCGACAGCTGGACCCCTCGTCTCTCCGACTTCTCGATCTCTCTTTCTCTTTTTTTCCCTCTCTCCCCCTTTTCTTTCTCTCTTTCTCTCCCGGCTGAAACGAAAAGTCACCGCGCCGGATTAATCGCCGGCGAAAACCCCCCTCGATACACGCGGACGCGGTTCGTGGGAGGTCAATCTTGTTAGGGCGAGAGTGCGTATTACAGGATGCGACAGGATGCAATCCGCGACAAAGCCGACGGATGCGCGTATTGCACGCGTCCTTCGACGCCACCTCCGACGCGTTCCCTACTACGTGACTACTGCAGGATGCTTTAAAGCGGACGTCTGATTCTCATTGTTGTCATATTGATTACGCACTAAGCTCTGCAGGTGTCTTCAGACGGAAATTACGGAATAAAATGATATTTAATTCTTAAGGTTATATGGTTGCACTTATCACAGCTTCTAATTAATACTATTAATATCTCTTCTTTTATTTCATCTATGTCATGATTGTTAATTTATTATGTGTAGCTTTCTATGTGTTTGTAGTTGCGTACAAAAAAAAAGTATCGTTAATTGATATTAGTTACTTCTACTTTGTAAAGACGTAATCTTGTTTAAACTGAAGAAAAATAATGTTAATGCATTAATGCATCGCACATTGTTATTAAAAGTATCTATCAAACGAGAGTGAACGCTTATAAATTAGTAGGACTATTAAAAAGTAAAAAAAATACTACGACCATGTTAAACTAACTTTCTTGCTGTGATAATCGAAGTGTGAATGTAAATTTATTATGGAAAATTCGTGAATTGAAGAGGTATCTTGGTTTTTTGTTTATATTTTTGTCTTATATATTGTACAATTGTTGTCTGAATTATCTTAATCTTTCCTATACAATTAGATGATTAAAATACACACACACTTTACGATAATACAATCGTACAT